TGCTCTCTACAGGTATCATGCGGTTAAGGTCTGGGTCAGAGGTTGACGCGAGGGCGGCTAATGCATCGGCTGGAGAGTTGTCACTGCGCGGGATTTTGGTGAGGGTGAGGTCGTCAAAGTCCTTTGAAAGGTTTTGGACTACTTTTAAGTAGGCATCCATTCGTTCGTTTTTTGCTTCGTAATCACCATTGAACTGACTGGCTACTAGTTGAGAATCGCAGAATGCTTGGATTTGCCTTGCCCCCATTGCCTTTGCCAGGCGCAGGCCAGAAATAAGAGCTTCGTACTCTGCCTCGTTGTTGGATGCCGCAAACTCAAGGCGGAAAGACTGCTCGAGGATTTCTCCAGTCGGAGATATTAGCCTGACTCCGATACCCGATCCGTTTTGAGACGACAAACCGTCAACATATAGCGACCATTGCACGACGGTTGGGGAGTCGGCGGGAGTAGGGTCGAGTGGTAGCTCTATGAGAAAATCGGCGAGGACCTGAGACTTGGCGCATGCCCTGTTCTTGTAGTCGATGTCGTATTCACTTAACTCAATGGCCCACTTCATCATTCGCCCCGATTGACTCGGGCTATGCAGGACTGTCCGCAGCGGTTGATTTGTGAGAAATGTGACTAAGTGTAATTGGAAGTAGGGACGCAACTTCCGGGCTGAGGTCACTACTGCGAGTGCGAGCTTTTCCATCGTCGAATATCTGCTCTCAGGTCCGTTCAATGACTTGCTCACATAAAAAAATCGGTTTCTGCTCACCCCGATCTTCTTTGACGAGTACGCCGCTGATGGCCGAGTGAGATACGGCGACGTAGAGGTAAAGCGTTTCGCCGAGCTCGGGCTTTGCTAAGACTGGTGGCGTTGATAGATACTCCTTGAGTTGGCCGAAGGCCTCTTCGCATTTTTCGTCCACTTGAAGTGCTTATTACCGCAGAGAAGTTGGTAGAAGGGAAGACACTTGTCGATCGATCGAGAAATAAATCTGTTAAGGGCGGCGATGCGGCCCGTGAGCCGTTGTACTTCACGAGTGTTCCTTGGCGATGGCAGCTCGAGAATCGCAGCTATCTTTTTGGGGTTCGCCTCGATTCCTCTCTTGGTGACGAGGTACCCGAGGAACTCCCCGGATTTGACGGCGAAGGTACACTTTGTTAAGGCTCTTGAAATAGGCGTGGAGGTGGTCGACGTGATCTGCAGTGTTAAGTGATTTCACTAGCATATCGTCGATGTAGACTTCCATCGTTTCTCTGAGCTGGTTGGCGATCATTTTGTTGACCAGACGCTGATAAGTTGCTCCGGCATTCTTGAGGCCGAAAGGTATAACCTTGTAGCAATACGTGCCCGGATCGGTGATGAAGGAAGTCTTTTCTCGGTCGTCCGGATGCATCGTAATTTGGTTATAGCCGGAGAAGGCGTCCATGAAAGATAGTAATTAGTTGTCTGCCGTCGCCTCGACCAATCGGTCGATATGGGGGAGCGGGAAGCTGTCCTTGGGGCAGGCCTTGTTTAAGTCTGTAAAATCGACGCAGACCCTCCACTTGCCGTTCTTCTTCTTTACGACAACGGGGTTAGCCAACCAGTCTGGGTATTTGGCTTCCGTTATCGATCCCGTCTTTGATAGCCGATCGACTTCATCGTTTACCGCATTGGCTCGTTCGGGACCGAGCTTGCGCCTTTTTTGCTTAACGGGTTTAAACGTTGGGTCGACGTGCAGCTCATGTTGAGCGAGGGCAGGAGGTATTCTTTTCATGTCTTCGGTCGTCCAGACGAAGGTTGAGGCATTCTCTCGGAGGAAGTTGACCAGCTCGTCCCCGAGGTTGTTGTTCAGTTCTGCGCCGATTCCGATGCATCTTTCCAGGTCGCTCAAATCAATATTCACTTTGACGACCTCTTCTCTCTGTTCGTCGTCTGGTGGCGGGAGTATGGCTTCCATCTTTGTCGTCATCAGGCACATCGGGGTTGATTTCCTCAGCTTGTGTTCGACGATGAAGCAGGTCCTCGCGATCCTTTGGTTTCCTCGGATTGTGAAGATGCCTCTTGGTGTCGGGAATTTTACGCATTGGTGGTAAGGAGATGGGACCACCTTCATCTGGTGTAGCCACAGAGTGCCGAGGATTGCGTTGTAGATTGCTGGTTTGTCGATTACGACGAATTTTACGATTTTGGCCGTGTGTCCGACGTATACTGGGAGTTTGATGGTGCCAATCGTCATCGTGGTGTCTCCTGCGAATCCCGTAAGTGGTTTGATGCTTGCTTTAAACTTCGCTCCTTCGGGTTCCATTCGTTATAGCGTTTCCTTGAATAACAGATCAACAGTGTTGCCGGTGTCTACTAGGATGCGGGTGACTTCGCAATCGCCGATTCGAAGCTCTATGACGAGCGGGTCGTTGTGCGGCGTGTCGATCCCTTCCAAGTCCTCTTCTCCGAATGATACGTCGTGGCCGTCTTTGAATTCGTCGATGGCATGGTGCTTCCATTTTTGGGCGGCGATGCTTTGTCTCTCGTATCCCTTGATTGAACGTACAGAGTCTTTACACGTAGGGAGTCCCCCCATGATCATGTTAATTCTTCTTCTCGCAGGGGGTTGGGCGTCGCCGTCATCCTGCCTGTTATGTCCTCTTTTTGGGGCGTCCCCGGTGGTGGACCTGGCAGAGCGAGGACGGGCTGTTGTCTGGCCTGCTCCTGGGCGATTTTGAAGCGTTCTCCTTCGTTCTTGGGCTGGGGGTCTCCTCTCTTCTCGTTTGATAGTGCTAACGGACTTCCACCAGATTCTTTAAGCTCTTTCTGATATCGTGCGAACATGCGCTCGTGCAGTAGTCGGCATTCTTCGTCAGAGTGGCCATAACGATTGTGGAGAGTGCAGTATGGCTTCGAGCTTCCGGGCGACTCTTGTTGATTCGTCCGGATGTACTTGTTTGATCGCCTGCCCTGCCATTTGTTGAGCTGCATGTCGTTGACGACGAAGGTGGACGGCTTGCTTCCTCTATCGTTCCTTTGATAACTGCTGTCGTAATGCTGTCGGGGCTCGTGGTACTCTTCCTTCGGTTTCTCTTTCGGGGTTGGTGCTTTTGGGACTCCATACTTCTTAGCTTTTTCGACCCTCTCTTCTTCCAGCTCGATAATGACTGTTGCTCTATGTAGCGTGTCCTCCAGCATCTGGGGCCTGTTCTTTTTCAGTTCTTCGTAGAGGCCGGACTCATACCATAGCCCATTTCGGAGCGCCGGGATTGCCGCTTCGTCTGATATCGACACTTTAGAGACGATGCTCTTGAATTTTCCAATGTACGAGCGCAGCGACTCCTTTTGGCCTTGTCGAAGCGTGTACAGGTCCGCTTCGCATGCTCCCTTCTCGATATACATTGAGTAGTGCTTGAGGAATGCCACGCTGAGCTGTTTGTAGCTGTCGACTGAATTTGCCTCCAGCCTTGAAAACCACCTTAAGGCGGCGCCGGTAAGTTGTTCGACAAACAGTTGACAGTAGCCCGCATCGCGTTCTTCGGGGGGGGGGGGGGGATGCGGCACTTGACGACGTTGAAGGTTGTCATGAACGGTGTGGGATCCGTGGTTCCGTCGTATGGGTTTATCTTAATTTTACCGAGATGTCTCACCGGCGAGTTGGCGATACGGCTCGTGAAAGGCGTGTTTTGGGTGCCGAGCTTGTTGCTTGGTGGACCCGGGAGCTCATCTGACGTAGCTGTGCCATCATGTTTTCGAGCTCGTCGCTTTGTCGGTTTTGGCGTCGATCGTTGATAGCGAGACGTTCTTGAGTTGTTTGCTCCCACCGGGGAATTTCGGAGGGCTCCTCGACTTGTTCGGCTGGAGTCAGGGTCGTCTTGTTGAATAGGTTTCGCTGTATTTGTGGAGTGAGGTTGATCTGTCTTGGCGCCTGCTCTCGGAGCTCGTCAATTTGAGTGTGACAGACGCGCTGAGCTGTGGCTAACTCATCGAGTCGCTGGTTTACTCCTTGGGCGTTGCTACTCATTTGGGCTAGGAGCATCTGTAGCAGGCTCGAGACGTCGGTTTGTGCGGGAGCTCCGCTCGTCGATGCCTATTGTCTCGCAACGTCGGGGATCGTTCGTGTCGCTCTGCCTGCGCTGGAGAGAGGCGTCGTTGCTGTTAGGAAGGCCGGTCCGGTTGGCGGTATGTAGTTTCTGTAAGCCGAGGCCATTGAGGTTGCTCGAGTGGTTGCCGTCGACTGGGCCGGCTCTCGTGGCGTCTCCTGAGAGGTCGGCATGCCGGGTGGAGGCGTCGGCATCCTGGAGGTCGGCGAAGTTTGCCTTCCGGAAGCTGGAGTTGTCCCTCCTGGCGGAGTCCCCTCTGTCATTGTCGATTCGATTCGTAAGTAGAAAATAATCCCTTTCTCCACAGACGGCGCCAACTGTTGGAACTGTTTTTCACACTAAGTAAAATAGACTAGTCGAGGACGAAAGTTCGGGGATTTTCTTATTAATTATTTGATCGAAACGACAAGTACAAAGGGGGAGGACAAAGACGAAATGGTCGAAAAGTTTAAGTAAAAGAGGGCGGCCCGCTTTCTGAGCTCCGGGGAATCGTCAAGCGGGGGACAGTCCGAAGAGAGGAGGAAAAGACGTCTCGCGGAGTAGTCGAGCTCGATTCCCAAGAAAGGGTTCTTTTTCCAAAAAATCTCAGATGTCTTGTCACATCAGGGTACTGTGCTATTTATAGCACCTCGATAGCGGTGCCAGTCTTTGGGCCTGCGGGCTTTTTCGTGAATGGGCTGAGCTTCTAACTAGAAACGGGCCGGGCCTCCCTCTGCTCTTGTTGACCTCGGGTTGACTTCAGCTAATGGGCCTTTTTTGATATTGACCCATTGGTTTGTAAATGGGCTGGGCCAATTAGGTGGGCCTCTGGGCCTAGTACCAACAAATCCAGTCCGAGTTGCCGTTTGGTTCTTGATTTCTTCTGTGTCCCATTGATCGAAGTGGGAAACGAGTTTAACCTTCCTTCTTACATTTTCTTCACGTGTAACGCCGGTTTCTTGGGTATGGTGAAGTATCTTCCTGAGAGACATCGGAGAAGCCCCTCCAAGCTCGATCAGAGCTCCGTGCCTTCCAAGGTTTTGCCGCCGGGTCAGTTCGTGAGAGAGTCTTACGAGGCTTGGGTCGAGATTGCAGAGAAGTTCCCTGGAGCCAAAGGTATTTTGGTAAATTCCATCACATGTCTTGAACAGAATACATTTGATTACTTTGCTGATCGTCCTGAGAACTATCCCCCGGTTTACCTGAATAGACCAGTTCTTAGCTTGGAGGATCGTCCTTCTCTCGATCTCGACCCGGCGGATCGAAGCCGAATAATGAAATGGCTTGAGTACCAGCCGGAGTCTTCAGTCGTGTACCTCTGCTTTGGGAGATTCGAAGTCCTTGGAAAAGAGATAGCTCGAGCTCTTGAACTCTCTGGCCAGAAGTTTCTCTGGTCAATCTGTACGGGGAAATCGAGCCCGTACGATCTTTTGCTGGAAGGGATTATGGCTCGGATGGCGAGTAAGAGGCTGGTGTGCGGGTGGGCCCCATAGGTGGAGGTGTTGGCCCACAAGGCGATAGGAGGGACGTGGCCGTTGTACGCCGAGCAGCAGCGGAACACTTTCACGTTGGTGAAGGAGTTGGGTTTAGCCGTGGAGCTGCGTTTGGACTACGTTTCAGCAAACAAGGATGTTGTGAAAGCTGAGGAGATTGCTGGAGCGATTCGATCTCTGATGGACGGTGAGGATACACCGAGGAAAAGAGTGAAGGAGATGGTGGAAGCGGCAAGAAAGGCTTTGATGGACGGAGAGTCTTCATCTGTTGCGGTTAGACGATTTGTCGACGATATAGTTGGCTTCCATTGGATCTTCCAGAAAGCAAAAGATCCGACCGATGCTGTGGCTGCGGAAAGCCCACAAACATCGGCCGGCAAAGACATCTAAGGCGGACTACCAAAGAGAAGAAAAGAAGAGAGAAGGGGGAGAATTTTTTAGGGAGAGAAAAAGAACTGAAAAAAAGAACTGATGTCCGGTGGCGGCGGCTCCCTAAAGATCGGATAAGACACTTATACAGTATGCAACACAAATCCTAGTGTAAGAAAAGAAATTAGAAGTTTTTTAAAAAAATCTATTTGAAGTTCAAAAAAAAAAGAAATTACTATTTTAATATAATAATTTTTTTTTTGATAGCGGTATGAAAAATAAAAATATCTCACAATTTATTCAAAACCATAATCATATTACAATTGTACGCTACGAATCTGTGCAACTCGATTGGCATCATTCGACAAAATCGGATTGATATTTTCTGGGACAGATTCTAAATAAAAAGAATCTAATAGAAGAGAGAAAGCATAATATATTAGTCCATCTGCTAATCAATTTGCTATTCTATAAATATGAGTCACTCGAACTATCCAATATCTGCATATAAAGCCATAACACAATTGTATTAGGAAAGACAAAGAGTGATGATTTCTGAATCTATCTCAGTTCCAATCTTGTAATTCTATTTTTCCACGCTAAGTACAAACCATACACACCCCATATTTCATCTAAAGGAGCAAAGCAAATACAAATGTGAAGGGCAAAGCCTCCACACCACCCCCATATCATTTCATAGACCCCCTCCCGTTGTCGCAAAACCGGGTTTCTATGCGATGCTCCATCCGTATTCAGCTTTAACCACCTATCCTGTGGACGAGTCCATGCTATCATCTGATCCTCCCTCCTAACTGTGTACTTAAATCCTCTGATTCGTGAGTGAGTAAGTGTCACCTCTTGAGCGATATCCTTCATCCCTGTCTCGGCAAATTCCCGTGGAACCAAAAATATTTCCACATCTCCATTTCCATCCCAACCATACTGTTATCGCGAAAGTTGTTGACTACATACTATTTCCCATCGGTTCTGCATCCCTAAGGTTTCCATACAGCCATTCCAGCAAAGATTTATCAAAGAAGGCTCTCTGCTTTCTTGGCAGAACTATTTGATGCCAAATCCCCGCCAACGCAGGACAATCACCGAGTACATGTATAATGGATTCCTCTCCTCCTTTGCAAACTTGAAAAATCCCCGTCTCACTTAGATGTTTTCTCTGACGTTCCATATTAGTCATGATGACTTGATGAGCAAAAAGCCATAAGAAAACTCTTACCCGCTCTGGCGCAACCAATTTCCAAACACGGTCAAACAACTTCTCATATCTTGCCTCGAAGTCGTGTTCTGCATTATAAACGAGTAAGCTGACTTCACTGTGAACTGCCTATCTTGAGTTCTCTCCCTATGATATTCGATCTTAACTACCATTTCATAATCCAGCACTATGAATCCCAGACATAAGCGAGCCGTCGTTGTTAAGTATTAGGGAACCTGGTTCAATAACCAGCCCGTTCCATTTTGCTAGAGGTCTCTTACTCTCAAATTCACTATCTCCTCTGAGATCTCTTCCTCAACCATATCTAATAAAGGCGTGGTTGACACCTATTTATCCCTCCAGAAGAGAATCTTCCTACTATCACCAATTACCCAAGTCATTTCCGGGATCACCACTTCTCTTATCCCTGTCCCTATACTTCGCCACGTACTTGACCAATTACTTGTCGTTACATTCCAAGAAGCATCTTGTGCTGTTTTTACTTTGTACTTCCTCCTCAATACCTCTGCCTAGAGACTTGTATGATCCTGGAGCAGCAGCCTCCATCCCAACTTACCTATGAGAGCTTTGTTCATGGACTGTGTTCCACAAATACCATGCCTACCTTCACTCTTTGGTAAGCACACTTTGTTCCAAGCCATCAGATGCTGTTTCTTTTATTCTGCTGAGATGCCCCACACGAAAGATCTGGAAACTTGGTCTAGCTTCATGAGAGTTGACTTTGGTAATAGGATTGTGCTCATCGTATGAACTGGGATTGATGATAATACTGCTTTAGTGAGCGTCAGCCTTCCCGCAAATCTCAAGAAACGCCCCTTCCATCCTGTTAGCCGTGACGAGACCTTTCCAAGCACTTTCCCAAAAGTTTCCTTGTTTATTCTTCTCTGTAGTATCGACATGCCCGTATATTTCTCCAGCTTAAGTGTTGATTTGATTCCACTCTCATCATGAACATTTTCCCCAACTCTCGAATGATATTTTCAGAAAAGAAGATCTTAGATTTTTCTAGACTAACATTATGTCCCGATGCAGCACAAAATCTCTCAAAAACCCTTCTTATCACCCGAATCTGCATTACTGATGCTTTGGAAAATAAGATTAGATTATCTGCAAAACAAATATGGGACAACTTCGGGCCTCCGCGAGAGAGGTTAATCGGCTTCTATTCTTTCAGCTCAACTAAGTGCTCGATAAAGTGACATAATCTTTCAATGCATAACACAAACAGATACGAAGACAACGGGTCTCCTTGTCTAAGTCCCCTTTGCGGTTTAAAAGGTCATGTGCGCTCTCCATTCCATAGCAAGCTCATAGATGGCCCTACAACACATTCCATAACCCAACGGCCCTTTGATAGATTGCATAATTACACTATTTTATACTTCATTTAGTAGTGGTTTTCATCTCATCTCATTTATTTTATAGACCAAAATGTCCCATTTGCATTCATATTAGACTTAGTGTGCATTAGGAGTAGGAATGCATTAATTGTTGCATTTTGTAGTATGTTTGAGGTACATTGGAAGCTTAGGAGGATCACCTAACGAATGGATATCAAGCTGAGGCAAGAAGGAGCACTTGAAGGAGCTATGGAAAACAGGGGAAAACCATGTCGAGGTGCATATCAGGTGTCACCCCGATACAGAAGATCCAAGAGAAGAACTACTTCCGGTCAGCATTTCTGTATCGGCTTATTGTATCGAGGACTTGCGTGATATTAAAAGGACATAAATCATATTGATGTCCCATATCGAGATCTTGCCCGATTAAAACCTCCTTTCCAAGCAGATTTGACTTTGGCCAACCCTTTTAATTAAGAGTTTGACCAAGTTGGCCAGGCTTTGACCCTTGACTATAAAAAGAAAATCTTATCGTTTTAGTCAGTTATCCAGAATTTGTTGAATCTTATCTTTAAAAAACCTAATTTTAACCTATCTCTCTTATTCTTGGCGATTTCGTGAGTTTTAGAGAGATTTGTATGATATACTCTGAGTTTTAATATAATCTTGTATTTCTTGTTATTGATCTTCTTTCTATTGCTTTTGATCATGTTTTCATTCATCATCTGTCTAGATTTTGAGAGATTAACCATAATTTGTGAGTAGTCATTTCTGGGTTTAAGGATGAGTTAGATCTAGGATAATCCAAGGCTTATAATTTGATGCTTAAGTGTAGGTGATGTTATATCCTTCACTATTTGGTGTTTTTAATTGTCTTGTCCTGATCATATGAGCTTTGAAACTAGTCTTTCTCTTGCATCAAAAGTGTTTAATGAAATGTCTGAACCAACCTCTTACTGGATTTACTTACCTAGTACATGAAAATGGATGATTAGGACGTTTATTGGCTTTATAAAACTGTTTCTTTATGCTTGGTTGTGTCTTAATCAATAATGAGAATTAGATTTTGATTATGATGCTTTCAAAGAAATCATTGTCATGAGAGTGGAATGATTTACATGTTTAGAGTTCTATGCTAAAGGATAATGCATTCATTGATTGTTTGAACATCTTGTTTGAGGCCAGGGATCATCTTATGTCAATAACCCCATCCTAGAAGCCTCTTTGTCATATTTTGAATTTACTCTATTTTTCCTTTGTTTTGTGATCACCATATTTGCACTTGCTTAGTTTAAATTTCAAGTCTTTGAGTGTTTATGGTTTTGATGTTTTGCTTACTTGTTTGCACTTGCTTTATATTTTAGTGTAAACCTCTTTTCAATCTTGTTTAGCATAGCTTAATGAATTCATTGCATCTTCTTTACATTATCTCCCAAGATGGATTGATAACCTCTAAGTACTACAATGACATAATTTTATACTTGAAGATTTGAGTCGCAAGACTGAAAAGTCTTGTATCATTTTGGAGCTATTGCCATATTGGGATGATTTGGTGAATCAAAGTTTACATTTTTGCTTAGTCTAGGCTGTTTATTTTAGTACTAATTTATTTTTGTTTAGACTTCCAAATCAGGTACAGTGGAAGTTCCACATACTTATTACATGCCACAAAGAAGTATGGCCAAGAGATGCATCAGCTTTACACTCCATTCTATCAACATCACACTCAAGCTAGTTCATCTTCATATCTTGACTTGAGTATCCATGCAATGATAAAGCAACTCCTTCAAATGAAAACCAGTGCATCAGAAGATCTAAAGAAAGGTTTTGCTGAAATCAAAAATAAGATGGCTACCACCACTTTAGAGCTGAACAACAAACTAGATGCTCTAACACTAAGAGTAGACATCATTGAGATGGAAGAGGCATTATCATCAAAACAACAAAGCCAACTTCCAGGAAAGAGTGAAGATAACCCAAATGAGTACTGTAATGCAATCTACCTCTACAATGACAACTCTCCTTGTGATCATGAAGCTGCTGTGAAAGAGATTGAAGAGCTCCTCTATGGTCATAAAGTGGAAGTCATCTACACTAAGATCAATGAGAATATTGAGACTAAGTGTGGAGGGAGTGCTTTCTGCCCAAGCATTGATGGTGACAAAGAGCATGAGAAGGAAGCTAAGGGTGGTGAGGCTGAGGTAGAGGAGAAACAAGAAGATAAAATGGGTGAGCATGACAAGTTAGTTGATGGCTACCATGCACTCAAGCCACTCGCTGAGGAAGCACCTCGACAAGCATAAGCTGAGTCTAAGAAGGATAATGAGATATCTTCATTCCAAGAAGGAGAAGCACACTTGAAGCATGTGTTCAAGTATAAACCTCCATTGTCCTATCCTTGCCGAATTCTCACCAAGACTCAAAAAGCTGTACTTTCAAGGTTTAAG